TAAGTTACGTAATTTTAAATAAATTTATAGTATATTGATTTCATTATGTTACATGCACTTCCAAATATCAAGCAATCACCTTTTATTGCACTAATCAAAACTATTGTAAATAATGAAAAAGCCTAGAACACTGTCTTTTTCTTTTTATAGAACAGGGTGAAAACGGGCTGAAGGCTCACCTGATGTTAAATGATACCAACACCCATGGACGCTCTCAATGCCTCGCGAGTGCGTTGCCGGCCTTTTAAGAAATGGTACGCTCTTTTCTTGAACCTTAGTCGAATTGGTTCGAAAATACTTCAGTGGGCAGTTGGTCCCATAGTGGTGTCGATAGGATAAGTTTCATTAAACATTTTTTTAAATTGTTTTGTTTTATATATCGCATATTATATACACTATAACGGTATACAAAAGAAGAAAAAATATCCTATTGTTATTTTTATGAAAAAATATACTGTAATATGTATTTTTGCATACATTAAATAATAATACTTTGAGTACAGTATGACCATCCTGTTGCGTGCCTACCGTTTACTTTTCCAACTTCAACAATTGACATTGAACCTAACAGCGTAAACTGATTTTTTTTCCGTAAAAGTAGCCAGTCGTATTATTGTTACTTTTTTTTTCGCCCATGGCGCAGGCTATAGTCTTTCGACCATACCGCCTAGTCTTATGGGGCGTTCCCACGAGGCGTTAATCACGACAGTCAACCACGCTTTCGTGAAATACACTTCTGTGTGAACGCATAGGCGTTAAACTTGCTTTCGTGAGGAACGGCGCACGACACAAGCGTGGATAGATCAAACGTGTTTGATTTTCAGTCGTGATATACCGTTCGTGAAGCCAAGATGTCGTCACAACAACGTGGAATTAAGTTTAACGACAGTGAAACTACGCGTTTTTTGGAGTTATATTCTATGGAAAAGGTGTTATATGATCCAAGTTTGGAGGAATACCGTGATAGAGATTTACGTGCCGCCGCAGCTATGAGAATAAGTCATGAATGAACGTCTTTTTTTTCGTTTTCTTGTGTCAATCTTTTTTGCTATGATAGTAGCAAAAACCGAACTTAAAACAGCACAACTTTCAACAACCAGATCATTCATGATCGATGTTTCGATAATGACTAAGTCGAAACACGAAGCGTGAACGGCACGAAATCCCCCAACCATGTGAACGTTTCATCAATTCACACTTTCGTGAGTGTCACGAACGACAGTTGACTAGCGTAGTTGACTGTCGTGATTAACGCTCCGTGGGAACGCCCCATTACGTAGGTATTATTGTTACGTTCGTAATTCAAATAAAAGTTTTATATATTTTCAATAGTCTGTGGATAGTTAAACGAACTAAATAAAAATTCGTCTAGCTGCAATGCGGTCGAGAACGAACGCGCAGCTAAGGGTAAAATCCAATACACGTCTCTGTCTGAATAGAACTGATTGCTGGAATCTTATTCTAGTCTATCTATACGAAAATCACAACAAAGTTATAACTAAGTTCCTTAACTTGGCTAAAATCGTTATAAACAATTCCTGTGTGTATTTCCTCAGTCCTTTCACCTTGGAATATTGTAGAAATTATGTTATAGATATTAGATACTCCGAGTAGTTTAAGTTAACGGTCAAGTTAAGTAAAGCTGAAAAAGGGTTCTCGAATCAAGTGTATTATTGTTCCGTACAATACACTATAAAAAATAAAAGCTAAAACGTTAAAAGTTAAAACAATCAATTAATATTAACAAAAAACCTACATAGGTATTTTCCATATTACATATACTGTCAATTATACAATTTATTGTACACTCAAAAATTATTTTTTCCAAAATAAATAAAATTTCCAGCCTATACCGCAAGTCTATAATTTATTTTATTTAAGCCTTAAATTATTTCTTAGTACACTTGTTATCCAATTATCCTATTTGTTAGTAAATATCTTTTTCAGTTAGTATGTATCAGGAACTCTCACCGGTAAAGTTCTCCTCCAAGGCTTGCCATCTTTATCTATCCCGAGATATTTGGATTATTATTATTATATAAAACACGAATATACAATTATGTTCATTTCGTTCATCTGAACAGGTTGCAAGTAGGTATGTGATAAATCTTTGTTATACAATAATTACTTTTATTTAAAAAAATAGTTGGTATAAAAAATATAATTGTATTTACATTAAAATTCTTTAAACATTGATTGGAAGTCAAATATATTATATAAATTTATTAGTATTTATTTATAATATATAAAGTAAAAAGATATCTTATTAAATATGGTTGAAAACACGTTGTCGTAACTTAAATCTTTAAACAAGGGTTTCATAACGGCTGCGCAAACTCCATCTTAAACTTTTTTTTTCTATTACACAAATACATGAAAACTACGTCACCAACCAATAGAGAGACAAAAAATACTCATAAAAATATTATTGTATAGTGCATTTTACGCGTAATTGAATAACAAAAGATTACATTTATGGACCCCAAGTTTTTCCCCGTTGACGTGGATTAATTTAGCTCTTTCTGCAATTAAGTTTAATGATTTTAATTAATGATAGACTTATTGTAAAAAAGTAGTTAGGTACTTTTACCATGACTAGCGTGGTCATGAAAGGAGCACGGTTCTTAATGTCTTAATATTTGATTGAGTAGTTAGAATATAGCTTTTATAATAGAATCTTAAATTTTGCTACGTATTACACTTGTATACATACATTTATAAATATTTATTGTTTGTATACTATTGTTTAGAGAATTTTATATATTAGTTATTTAGTTAATAGACAGTTTATGGAGATCTAGGCAATTCTTTAAAAGTCGGTGCTAAATGTCAATTGGTAGAAATTTATAAAATATATTATATACCTAAAATCTATAATAAGTCAAACAACAAACAACTTTATTAAGTCAAAAAAGGTAGTTTAATTTTATACACGTTTATAATGTACATGATGGCCTACGAACGCAAACTTTAGACTCAAAGTTTAGAGGCTGTTTGGCACGTGCCCGGCAATAAGCGAACCACGTTACTTCAATCGCAATTTCCGTACCATATAATTTTTCGTTTGTAAAAACAGCACTATTTGAAATGCTACACACTTAGGGGGTAAGCAACGCTACAAAAACGTTCCCGTTTATCAATAATTTACGCTATTTATAACTCAATCTGAAACGTAATTTTGAGATCTTAAACCACACTTGTTGAAGTTACGTAGTAAGAGAGCAGAATTGTGAAACTCAAGTTTCAATTATTCAAGTATTTTCACACATGCAAACAATATATATAATAAAAAAAATTGTGCGTGTACTAGGTGTACACACGTAAGAAGTGAAACTTCTTTAGGATCTTATTTTTCGAAAAATGATCTACTATATGCAACTTTACAGAAATTCGTTAAATCAGATAAAGTTTAACAATAGGCTTTTATTATCATAGACATGAATACAAATATTTCATTTTACCTTATTACTACGAAGATTATTATAGAATTTCATTAATTGTAATAGAATTATTACTATCATTGAAAAACGTGACGATTTGCTACAAAATTTCTCCCATACGTCGATAAAGAAGTTTCATTCCAACGCCGATAAAGAAGTTTGACTTCAAAAAGCAACATGGCGTGTAACCGAAAAATGTGACGCGTAACGAAAAAATGTTACACTAAATTTTTTTCCAACCTCGATACAGAAGTTTCACTTCAATAAATCCTCCAAAATACAAACACAAGATGAACGGGGCTTCCAATAATGTAGATAAAATGAATCATAAAAGTAGCGCCATCTATTGCGAGCTTTTGTTACTAAACAACATTCAAAATTCTTTGTTTTGCTATGTACAATAGAATTCAGATTGTAGTAAGACAGAGACCTGTGACAGGAAAGAACATTAAAGCGTTACTATAATTAAATACAGATGGCTTTATGTACAATTATTTCAAAATCGATAATACTATGCTTTTGACTGAGGGATTAACTTTGAGTGACGAAATTAATATCTAATTAGACTTGCTAATTATAAATGAATTACGATTCTTTATCAAGACTTAGACAATTGTTCCCCAATATTACTAAATTGAAATAAATGTAAACTGAAGTCTGGTAAAATTGTAGTTATCAATAAATAGTTAAGGAACAATTGGTGTCTTTTTTTACCCAAATATAGAGGGTTAGACAATTAATATACAGTCAAACCTGGGTAAGTGAGAAAACTCTATAAGTGAGAGTACTAGCCGGGACCTGTCATTTTAAGCTCCCAAAACCTCTATTAGCGAGAAACAGAAACCTCTGTAAGAGAGAGTCGTTTTTCCCTCATGCACCTCCGTAAGTGAGACTTACTACTACTACTACTTATCTTTACCTCTATAAGCGACAGTCGGGCTTTATTTATTTATATGTATTATGTACTTTAAATGCGTTGGAGACGGTCCATCAGTACTTTGAATACGCGGCGTGGCGGTTGTTGATCAAGCAATATTCGACAAAATTTATGAGTTAGAGATAAACATTCAAAATACAAAAACAGAAACCCAAACGAAATTGACGGTTTTTTTAAGTGTAAATTTAAAATAAAATAAATATGTGTATAATATGTTGTGCACATTATGCACATAATTTTATCATATTACATATTTACTACATTCGTACGTGCTGTGACTTGTTATTGCTGCGTATCTCTATAAGAGAGAAACGCTACCCATGTACCTGCATTACCGAGGAACTCGGGTTAGTGAGAAACCTCCATAAGCGAGAATGAGATTGGGCTCCCTTGAACTCTCGCTTATCCAGGTTTGACTGTATATAGTTAATATAGAGGTAGCCTTTTTAACTTAAAGCAAGAGAATATTAAAAAAATCACCACACTGGGTATGTGAATTTCCCATTTAGATCTTATAAAACTTAAAAGGAGGAAGGGATTGAAAATATATTATGAAAATTTGTTGTTGAAAAATTTATTTTTTCTTTAAATTTGCTTAATAAAAAAGTAGGTTTTATTTATATCTATTTATCATGGCTCGACCGTGAATCAGGATCTGAGGTGTCTCGATGTTCCTGAAGTTCTAATTCGAAGTCATCAACCGCCATCGGGGTGTCTGTAAGAAAATAATAAAACATCTCAAAATAGTAATTATTCTATGGTTACCATTATTTTTAAAGTGAAACTTTTATTACATCGTCTCAAACTTTTTCGTCTGTGAAAAAGACGCCGCGTGACGGTCGGCCGCGGAGTAGGGATAAAGTGAAAGGCGCTCGTCATAGCAGCCAAGGCCAATATGGCGGTGCCTATAGTTCGCAGCAGCTGACCGTGTAGTGTATAGACTATTATTTAATATGTGTATATAATCTAAATAATTGTTAAGTATTATTATGTATGTCGTACTCTCTAAGACAGAGTTCAATAAAAATATTAGTTGGAGACTTAATCTACTTTTTTATTTCCCATTATCATTACAATTTTCCAAGTATAAAATTAAGATTGATAAAGCAGGGTATAAAAATTGCTTTATCAATCTTAATTTTATACTTACTAATGGAATATTATTCCAAAAATGTTTAGTTAAATGTCTATAATGTGAAAAAAAGTTTCACTTTTACCGTGGTTTCATAAAACCACACGATCCTTCTTTATCTCAATAACTTCAATCTACGCTTTCGTATCTTAAGTCACAATCTACAGTCTATGTTGTGATGTGTAGTGGTTCACCGCTGATGACATGTTTGTTTTAACACCGCTGTTTCGGGAAACAAGGATGTGTGGCGTTACAATCCTATCTATCTATTTCATAGACAAGAAAGTGATTAGCGCGTTTTTGACACATGCCATCGATTTTAGTATTTAAGACATGTCGGTGTCCTTTGTTAATAATCCTTCATCATACAAGCTAGTGTTAGAAGTGAACATAGGAAGATACCTTAGGGATGAGTCTCACGCTGAAGCCAATAGGCTAACAAAGTTTCCTAAAGAATGAATATATTTTGACTTTAAATAGCTGATCCACTTTATTTTACCATTTTTGTAGTACTAGTGACATTTGAAACACGTACTCTCATACGTACCCAGATGATCCAAGGTGACCCCCATGGCCTTCCGCACTTGTGAAACTGGCGCTAACCGAGCGGGTGGCACTCGGCGGATCATGGCTCGAAGGCAGGATGCCGTGAGACGAGCCAACTCACGCTCGGAGCCTCCGGGCTTCGGGCAGAGGGACAGGTGCCAGGGCGGAGGAGCTGATAGACTGGAAGTAAAACCAGATGTAAAACCCCTTAAAGCGTAGGTATTGAACCCAAAACTAGACGAGTCAGGCACAAAAGACTGATCACCTATTTGCCTATTAGGGGCCGTTCAAGTTATATTAGGTACGTAAGCAGATTTACTGCAATTTATCTCCTCCCCCACTCTTCTTGTCAGCAAAGCTATCAAAAATAATACTTCATAAACGTATTCATTTTTTGTAGGAATTCTCGAATTGAGTGATGAAGAAACATACAGAAACATGAGGCGAATGCTCCTTCGTATTTTAACTAAACTCTTTTGTCTCTTTCTGTCAAATTGTGTCTACGCTGTGATGATAAATGACAGATTAGTACTTCAGTGTGGATGAAAGACATTTTTACGTTTGATAGACTCCAATCAACTATTAAATGTACGAAAAGACCATGTGCGATTGTATTGTATGGAAAATATTAGATTTATTACCATTCTAAGATTTATATGAAAGTTCTTTTTTTGGTTAGTATAATTTTACATTTATTCCTATAGTGTATTATCCCACTCAAATTTAAGTTCTTATTAAATTTATTTATTTGTAAAAAAGTAATTACCGATCCTTCTGTTCCTTCTCGAGCTTGGTGATCAGATCAGCCGTATGCCTCAGAGCTGACGTGATGCCATAATCGTGCTGAGCAGCCGCCACCTCGTCTTCGATCTCCGAAAGGAATTCCGTGTCCACGCCCACATCCGATAGTGTACGTAACTCCTCTAAATCTATTTTTACTTTTGAATTATCCTGAAAAAAATTGGATTATTATACCTAGATTATTTACGCTATAATTTATTTTCCTATATAATACTAGTGGACCCCACAGACGTTGTCCTGCATGATATTTAAAGCGATTAGGATATTAAGCAAAGTATGAAAGTACCGACTGCAGTGCCATCTGCCGGGCTGATTTGTGAATCTAAACCATTCCCAGATCCCCTTGAACACACACAAAAAATTTCATCAAAATCGGTCCAGTCGTTTAGGAGGAGTTCAGTCACATACACACGCACACAAGAAATATATATATTAAGATGTAGTGGAAGTGGATATTATGATTACAAAAAACACGTTTTGTCAGGCCTAGAATTTCTAAATATGTTTCACGAATGATAACTCTCATTTGTTTAAATGGGCAAGGTGAACTGCCTTCCGTGTCTGACCATCGCTTTTTTTTTGTTTTCCTTAACCTTACGAGAGAGTGTTAAAATGCGCAGAAAGAAAGAAAGTACCTACAATCCGATTTTTGTTTATTTTATTCTTAAGCTGGCATCACTGTCTACTAATGCCAGGTTTCGTAAACCTTTTTAATAAAATAAAATGTTATCTTAACTTGTGCGTTTTTTTACTTTTTGAGATGAAAAGGGACGTAAATAACACTTGCCGTTAATCCACTTTTAGTGTGAAGCAACGCACTTAATAAAATGGATACATTCACTAACAAATAAAATGTATGTATAGACTCAGATGTTCAGACTCGTATTGAAATTGAAAAATCTGCCCGGCCAAAAAGTTTTGCCATCTCTGACATGTCAAAAAACGATAGCTGTCACAAATCTATGGAATTAAAAATCGGAGTATAGAACCTACTATATCATACATGAAAGTCGCATGCTGAAGCCACTAAGCCTACACTGCTCAATGAAAATGAAAAACGTAGACTAATAATACTTACATTATCATCTTTACTAACAGCTGGTTCGGGTTGGGGCTTCTTGGCCGGGAAGAGGGCTTCCATATCATAGATAAGGGACCAGGGAGATTCGGGGGCGAAGCGAAGCATCTCTTCGTTGCCTTGGCCCGTTTCTGCCGCTGTAAAATATAGTAAAAGTTCAAGAAAGTTACTCTTAAAACTATATATTATCTTTCCAAATGTGTGAAATGAATGCATTTTAGACGATTCCTACAAAAATACATACAATACAGGAAGGGGCGAGGGGGGAGAGAGGGGTTTAAATAAAATGCAGTAAATCTGCTTACGTACCAGTTGTTGAGTTAAAGCCTAAAGAAGTATATGTTTCATGATCATTTGTCTATATAACATAAAATATTTTTGGGTGTAAGGCTAGCCGGTTTCCTCACGATTTCCTTCACCGTTGTATTTAAGAGAAGATTGAACGATTTTTTTTAATTGAAGATTACCATTTATAAATTGTTTTTATTAAGTTACACTATCGAAATAAATTAAATTTAGATTCACCAGTACTTACTTAGATCATAAGTACTTTGTCTCAATAAACCCAAAATCGGTTAAGAAAAAATTTGTATTATAATTATCACAAAAGCAAACTTTAAACAAAAAATCATTTTTGTGCATAATTAAGAGAAAACCATAAAATAAACTTTTGTAGAGTAGTGCAATCTGAAAATGTTTATAAAAACTTGTCAAATAGAAGTTTTGGGTCTCAATTCCTTTATCGTGTCATAATACTTACGCAAAGTATGGTATATGAGATGGGTTTCGTCCTTAGTGAGCGTTGAAAATGTTCCGTCATACGAAGGCGCATACGAACTGAACGGACCGTAGTTGAGGGGCTTCACGCACTTCGCCAAGTTACGACGATCTTCCCGAGTGCCTGAAACATTATTTATCTCACTAAAAATTTACATTATTTTGTCATGTAGAAGTGAAATTTGATGGAATTCTAGTTCTTCTTGTTCCTTGAGAGCTGGCAGTGAAGACAGTTTTCTTATCAGTGTATAAAGCTACTTATATGGGGAAACCAGTGTTTATTATTCCCTTTTAGAAAATCTAATTGATAACTAACGAATCTATCTGTCTCTTTTCATCACAGCGTTAAGACAATTCGTCAGAAAGAGACTAAAGTTTACTTTAGTAAAAGATTTTGAATTTTACGATTAAATGCTCTTGATCGCGATTATAATGGATGAACATCACGGAAAAGTAAAAATGGTTCGTGTACTTATGTACGCGCGTAAGAAGTTATACTTCGTTGGCTTTCTTTATTTTTTAATATTAAATAATTAATAATAAATATCTAGCGTTAAAAATTTAACAATATATAATATTTAGTATATTATTCAATTATTAATTAATGTTAATAATAATTATTATTTATTATTTTATTATATTATTAATTCAATTTAATAACTAGGTATGTTTCATAACCTTTTAACTAAGTAACAATAGGTATTTTCTTAGAAAAAATTATTAAATCTCCTTTATTTGTTTAAAAGGTACTACAAATGTCATTAAGGTCATTCAAAATTCTTGGCATAGCTGCTTACGCATATTCTATTTCTTTTTACTTGTAGATTGTCTTATTCCCATCTCGCTCGCGCACGCTCGGCGCCTATACTGATAATTTTGTGTCATGGTGCGCGCGCATCGTGAAATTTCACTTTCATAAATTTTTCATAACGCGCCTAAAGAAGTATAACTTCAAAAAATATTGTACAATTTTGTAAATGAATTTAGTCAAACATTTTCTTTCATCCAACGACTTTGGCCTACGTTTTTAGCTATAGAGAGATATTGGACGATATTTTAAAGTAAAAATTAATGACTACGACACCGATCGTAAATATTGAATTTTCTTACTTAACTTAGCGTAATTCGAATCACTATACCAAAACTAATAAATCAAACATTTATTTTATATTTAAAACAAGTAGGGAAAATATATAAATTTTTTTTTAATTTATTTATTAGCCGGAATATAATTTTATATTTTCTTAGAGTTGCCAGAATAAGTTCATGGGGGCCTACTATGAATTAATTTATGTTAAAATCTTGTAAATAATAATAATAATTTATTGCATGAACATGGTACAAAAATGTGTAAGGTGGTACAATTGTATTTATTTATTTATTATATACATGATCTTAAATAGATAGAAGTTGGTGTGGTGGAAACACAAACTGGACACAGTTTTTCTGTCCACCAGGTCGTCGAACATATTTAAATAATTAACTTATTACATACTTAGGCCAGTGACATATTATAAAATAAAAGTTCGCAAGTTCGCATATTCTGCCACACACAATGGCGCGCAAATTTGTCTTTAGGAATTTTACATTTTACATTGGTCAGTTCTTATATTATTTGTATCGTACATATCACGTTAACAACGTTAACATAATTAACAAACTTACTATGCAATGATCCAGTTCCCTGATTTAACTTCCCAATATATTGGCCAAGTGTGACCGGTTTATCTTCGGTATTATCCACAGGGTGTGTCACGAGGCATAGAGTTGTTTTGCCATCCGCATCCATACGGGGGAACGCTGAAATTAAATTATTTACGTGTTAGTGACCTACAATCTGGGCATAGTGCGATGACGTCACACCCTGAACTCGCCAGGGAATGACGTCATCGTATTAATGCTTCTATTTTATGGGGTAAACTACATTTGAACTAAAAATTATTTTCTGACAAGTTTAATATTTTTTTTCAATACATTGTCTAACTATCAAATTAATATTTTTGGGGTTAGAATACACGCTATTAAAGACGCACATAAATATATATGCTCTTTTTCAAACCAGAATAAGTAGTTGTGAAATAGCAAATAGGACGTCGAGGCAGAGTACGAAATTCCACCCGTATCACCTCGATGTCCGCCGTTCCACAACTGAGCGTTTTTCAAGGCAGTTTTTGCCGCGCACCACCACTTTGTGGAACCAGCTGCCCACTGAAGTATTTCCGAACCAATTCGACTTAGGGTCCTTCAAGAAAAGAGCGTACCAATTCTTGAAAGGCCGGCAACGCACTCGCGAGCTCTCTGGCATTGAGAGTGTCCATGGGCGGCGGTATCACATAACATCAGGTGAGCCTCCTGCCCGTTTGCCCCCTGTTCTATAAATAAAAAATAAAAAAAAGCTACCGTACCATACCTCTACAAAATTAATCACTTTTAAAGAACTTTAAAAGTTAAAGAATCAGCTCCCTATATTATTGATTAAATGGATGATGTTTTAACAGATATTAATCCACCTTTTCATAATAACTTAACCAGTGAACTGTCCTTTCTCTTCTAATCTGGTAAATTGTATTCATGTGAAATAAGACGATGAAAGGAGATCAAGTATGTTCCAGTTTCGATTACTAAGAGCTGTTGCGCTACCTTTCTTAGCCAACCGTCGCCTGTGCTGCTCCCTAGCGGCCTCCATCTGTATCTTCACACTGTCTCCTGAATCCTGCCTCTCTTGCCCATCAGAGACCGCGTCACACTCAGACCCACCACTCTTTATTGGACTGCTCCGCTTAAGCACTTTATGCTGTTGGATAAATTTTTAAGTTTCATATACCATGACGGTCGCAGTTCCTTTAAAACTAGTTTATCAAAAAGCCCGAAATCGAAAACATACACACACACGCCGCATGCAAAAGTTCGCACTATAATTTAACAAACAAACAGATTTTAAGCGATTCTAGTCACTATCACTAAGTGCATACACTACATAGCAAAATAACAGGAGACCCTGAGGGAATTTTGAAAATAACATATATATATATACAATTAATATCTCGCCGTCTTTAGATTAACTTAGAAAATGAACGAAAAACCTGAATTTCAAGACATATAATACTTAGAAATTAATATATATTCCTATTTGTAAAAAATACGAGATTAAATCTTACAACTAACACATTGTTAATAAAACTATTTACTCTCCTATTTTAAAGAAGCACTATTAAATCAAACCTAATTACTAAAAGTCGTTCTTTTTAAATAGCTGCCAATATAAGAATATGTCAGTAATATGTGTGACAGTTGACGATTATCTGACATTCCAAATATTTCAAACTCAGTTTGACGTAACAGAGTCAACAAGATTCTTCACACAATTAATTCTTCGCAGACTTAACGCCAAGCCCGACGCATTTGGTAAGAGATTTTTAGGTATATTGGGACTCAAGGATTTCGAGATCTCAGTTCGTAATTGAAACCCATCACATTAAAATCATATTGCACACTTAAATTACACCTAACTGTAATAGTGCACGGAGAGTTAATTGCCAGTTCTTGTCTTCCGTTCTACGCCCTTGATTTGAGAACTGGCAGTAAATGTAAAATTAGAAGCATTTAATGTATATTTCTTTTTTGAAGTTCATAAGTGTACATTGTGTAACCTATATAAATAAATGATTTTTGACTTTTGAATAATTAATCAACTCGTGCAAATCTTCCTCCAACATGCAAAAATAGTTACGCGCCAATAATAATATTTAAGTTAACATTTGTTCACCCACAGATAAATATAAAACAAAAGAAAATTATATATAGTGAAACCAAAATCTAATAATCAGTCTCCAGTTATCCGCAGGGCTAGTAATTATATTGCAAACCTTTCTACCGTACGTCCGTAGCGGCTGCGTGGAACATTACTCTTGTCAATTTCATTGTACATTGTCAAACTACAGTTAACGCATGCTCATGGCATATGCAGTGCTCACTCGAAGCACATTGATCTTTGGAAAGGCTTTATGAGGAACTATAAATTATGTCTCTGGATGATGAGTGGCGCTACAACCCTTTAAAGGTGGTTTTATAACTTTTTAAAGGTACAATCGATATTATTTGATAGTCCTTTACTACTTATTGAAGTGAAAACTACTTTAGCATCGTTGTGATTTGAAAGTCGATGAAACAAAAAAGAGACAGTAAAAAGAGAAAGACATCATTCATAAGATTTAACGTGGGAGAAAATTAGATAGGAAGCATTATACAGTGAACTAAAGATTGATATGAAACTTATAAATTAAAATTGAACTAAAACATTAAATTAAAGAAAAGTCTAGACTAGCCTTTAATTTAATGTTTAGCCTAGTCTAGCTAGAGAGATAGAGAAAAAATTCTAATTTACATATTAATTTTAAAAACTTTTTTTAATCATTGTAGTTTTTATCAAAATTAATTATATATATATATAAATTAAACTTAAAAATTAAAATTGCATTTGTCTCATTATCTTGAAACCAAAACTTTAGAAGGTTTTCTACCACATGTGGATTGGCACTCATGTTTTTTTTTTAATTTAACACTCTTAAACGTGTAATATTTAAAGTACAATCTGAAAGATTATATTTTAGTATTTATTCTCCACTCATTAATGAATTTTAGTTACTTGTATATTAATTGCAATAATTATGAAACACTTTCTCGAAAATAATCCATAGATCAATGTGCATATTGCCGAGTGTTATAATAAAAATTTGACAATCTACAAGGGCATAATATAAGTATTTTTATACATTATTCTATTAATTAATAGAATACTAATTTATGGCTTTATTTGTTGAATCCTCTATTCACCAATTAGTGAAATAATTCAATGATGTTGATATGATTTTAACATATTCTATGCCTCAATCACTTAATAATTTATTTGATAAGCAAAATTTAAAAGCTATAGACTTATAAGTACATTGAAATTTGCTTGAGGCTTATAACATGTTCATATTATTAAAATCAATAACAAAAATTAACATCTTAAAAAGAAAATATTCTTTCAGATGAAAACAGACATAATTTACTATTGAAAATTAAAATAAAATGTGTTTTATGCATTTCCTATTATGTGACACCAGTTAAATAAAATATTACCACATCCATTTTTCCAATATCAAATCCAAGCTCCTTAATAGGTATCTCATACATATAGGTAAGTATGTCTCCAAGAGGTCTTAGCTTTTGTGGTGTGAGCTGCTTCAGACCAGCGTGTAATAACCGCCGAGCTGCCTTGTGATATATTGTACCAGTCTTGTTGTATTTCATTGCGTTATTGCACATAAGTTTAAAATCACTCTGGAATAATTTAAATTTAATATCAAAATCACCAAATTGTTAATTACTGTAAAAAACTTTACACAAAACAAAACATCTATCGCATTAAAGTTACGTTATGAATAAATGTATCACCGCTGTAGTTTAGCAGTTGTTGCAAAAAGTGTAATTGTTGTTGTTTTTTTTTTTTAAAAATGATCTATAAGACTGATGCAGAAGTGTGAACCAATGTAATTAAAAAATCTCAGAATTTTATACATTTCGAAATATATTTGATTTCTCTATACAACAGACATTCTATAGAAAAATACACATAAGACAAATATGATTAGTACTTTAGAACTACAATGCAAGATATATAAAAGTCATACTGTATCACTATTAGACACTCTTCTTTACATAACATATAATTATTTACTTACAATAAAACAATTAAGTGATCGATATTCATTGTCATCAATCTTCTGTTTCATTGTGGAAAAGTCCATAGGTCTTCTTATTACGTTGGAATAGCCAGGTGCGAAGTTGTCATTCACTGGCCAAGCAAAAAACTGATTTGGGTCTCGTTTTTCAAGATTACGGAGCAGTTGTTCTAAAAGACGGGATAGGGGCCGGCGTTTTTGGCTTGCCTGCAAAATTTATGACACAAATAAAACCTTACTCTTTTCACAATATAATGTATTATGAAGTCTAATTTATAAATATTTATTGAGTTGAGAAAATTAGTTATTGATATACTGTTCAATAAAATATCTTTTAAATAAATTTATAACCTGTTTGGAGAGATGTAGAACTCATTCACTGTTTTATGGGAAATATCAAAATGTTTCTTTAAGGAGTGCATACAGTGTCGAGTTGCATACTACAACTGCCTTATATCCAATACACTTTTGATTATGGGATACAGTAGTCATAATTAGCAAAAGTTCCAACTATAGCATATACGTTTTTAATTCTTGTAAATTAAATTAAATTAATTGAATTAATATTTTATTTACACTTAATTTACAGGAAAAATTTTCATAATGTTAATCTCAATGTTAAATTTATAGTAGCTGTTATTACTTGTTGCTCTTACTACTCATTTAGGACTGAGCTAACTGTCTCTTATTTATAGTCGCTAGATCTAGAGTAATATAAGCGCTTATATACTTTAGACCCCATTTATGTTTCTTTATTATGAGTTGAATTTTGATTCCAAAATTAATTATGGAGGTAATGAGCAATAGCTAAGAGCTATTGATTAATAGATTTGAAATTATTTATGCAGGTGTCATAAAGGAATATTGGCAACACCTGTTAGGTATTTCAAACGTAAAGATCCTATTTTGTGAGACATTAGCCTCACCTTGAGCACACAGGACCGAGGTTCCCTATGTGAAGCAGGAGAGTTTGGTCCAGGACTCTGTCTCCGCAGCAACTTCTTAGTCAGCCCCTCATCATCACTTTCGTCATCATCGGACAACTTTATCTGAAAGTTGTCCGATTACTATACTAATAAATTCTTATAGTATATCTAAGATTGCTACTAACTTAAACGTTTAACTTTTACTGAAAATGTTTGCACAGGGAGCCCTCAAAATTAAGAAAGACAATAGATACGCAAATAATATGTACATGTAAGCACTAAATAAACCTACCATGTCTATTTCACGACGTCTTCTTTTACGATTTTTTTTTTAGGTTTTTCTTCTCGCTCTTTAACATCTTCTGTTGCCGAATGATCAACATCACTTAAATCTACTTCTTCTCCTGAAATATTCAGTGCTTAATGAAACACAACTCAAACACTTTATAAACGCATCTTCGTCGATACTTACTACAACTAAGCTTTTCTAGATCATCTATCATTATGTACAATAAATTACTTAAGACGTAAACGGTAAAGCTATGGAAATAAAAGTCTTTATTAGAAAATATATTAATATCTTAAAATTAACATAAACTATCTAAGTGAGAACAACTCTTTAATATTTAATATAAAAACATATTTTTAGACGCCGCCAGCGGCCAGACGCTTGTTGATTAACACTTGAGACTTGACATTGACAGTACCATACTTGATAGTTGACAGCATGTACCTAATGCAATAGATAAGAAGTAGACGTATACGGTATATTGTATATCTGTTATAGGTGCGATTCATGGAATAAGTAAATTAAATCAGCAGCAAACTATCACATTAATGTTCTGAGACGTCTTTCTAATTTCCTTCCTATCCACACTAAAACTATGCTAGCACAACCTCTTCTGCTTTCTATTCTCGATTATGCGGATTCATGCATCTCTGATATGAATGAAGAGCTGCTTGACAATATTGATCGCCTGCAGGATATCTGCAAACGTTTTATATTTGATCTTTGGAAAATATATGATCGTGTGTCTAAATTCCGCAGGCCGCTACCTATTGGACTCAGACGTGAAGTTCATCTCCTTCAACTTCTATACTCAATTCTTTTCAATCCCAAAACTACCTCTTATCTTAAAAATGAATTTAAATTCTCAGGTCCTTATAAATATATGTTACGCACCTCTAACAGATGCTTTTTGTAAATTCCATCTCACAGCTCATCCTTTTTAGACAATTCGTTTAGGATCTCCGCCTTTAAGTTGTGGAACAGGCTGCCCGACTCAATACGATTGATACTACCAGTAACATCTTTTAAAACTCTTCTACATGAACATTTCTTAACCATTTCCGATCCTGCTCAATCGTGACGTTTGTAATTCTTGTACTTCTTATTCTTTTGTACCTATTGCATGGCATTCATGAATCTGTGAGATTACCTTTTTTAGTTATTAGTGTATTTTATTTAAAAAAAATATTATATTAGTTTAAGGTTGGTGATTCTATATTTTCATTTTTGTATAAGATTTGGTTATGCACTTTACCCATATATTCATATTTCTCTTTTTTGTTGTTTTATTTCCTGTTAGGGTTGCCTGGAAGATATCGCTTGTTAGCGATGAGACTTCCCGTTGCATCCCTTATAATTGTTATGTTTCATGTTATTATATTTTCTATAAATGTAACGAAGTATAAATAAAAAAGTAAAATTAAATTGAAAAACGAAATGAGAAAGAATTGTAGTAATTCCGTTGCTAATAATTTATTTATTTATAACGGATAAGTCAAAAAATATTCCGAGCAAACAATACGATATACTTTCTACTTTGTGACGATTGACCTGATAATTTTAAAAGTTTTGAACTTGTGCAGAGAATACACTAATTTGGTAACATTACTATTTTGCCGTATTGTTTGTTTAATAGTGATAATTGTTTGTTGTACGAGTATTATATACGTACAACTGTTTGCCAGAAAAAGACAAATGAGTTGTTTAAGTTAAAAGAGTGTAAGGGACGGATTTAGTTTGTATTTATATGGAGGTTAAACTTTTATCATGATAATTATGTGAAAAATTAATAACATACAATGGAATATATGATAACTATTTTTGGAAAACACCAATTGACCGTCCTTGTACATAGGTACACTAGATTTAAATAACCAACATAAAATATTAATTGTTAAGTGTATTCGGTCCGAAACCGTTTCTCTACTGCGGTGCAGTCATAACAATCACCATCATGCAGGAAAGGGTCATGCAGTGAAGATATTAGGTACAAGAATAGCATACGAATATGTTTGTCAAGATACAAACTTTGTACGCAAAATCAATATTAGTAGGATACACAAAGCGAAGGCTAAGTCATCAAAGTATTAAACTTTAATGGTTGGTTTAAGGTGCAAACAATTAATTTCGAATCGAGTTGTATTCGTACAAGATATACCACTACCCAAGGCTTCCGCGTGTTCGTTCTTCGTATTTTATTGATAATAGGGCTAGCTCATACAGTTATTTTACGAATTAAGTGCTACATGGTCGTAACCCAATACTATTCATATCTATATTCATAAAAACAGGACCTCCCTAGTGTGGGGACTAGCGATATATGAATTCTGTCACAACCCTTTTGTCATAAATAAGGTTTTTATTATTATTATTTTACGAAATGCGTCTAAGATAGATTATTTTTATTATTATTAATAAAAAATGGTGCACATTCGTTTTTTCTGTGAAATTGAGTTTACGTTACTAAACTACTAAACAGTGTATTGGGGAAAGGGAACAATTTATAAGATTTGAATTACGATAGTGTATTAAAATTGTATTTGTAATAATTATAATGGTAATTTAATTAGAACGGTGTGCATATCTTTTATATTTTACTAGCAGACCGGCCAAGCGTTGCTGTGGCTAAGGTTTTTGTCATATTACATAGTAGCAAACTATTCAAGGGAAACGGTAGGAGAACACCAGTCATGGGGACCACAATGCTTTTGTGGTGGTTATGCCATTAAATTGTAGCTTATGTGAAACTGAATTGTGACTATCAAATAATAAAGAAATATTTTGCAATAAATTAAAATTGCGACTATAATTTGAGATTTAAACTATCCTATCTCTCAAGTTGGATCGAACTGCACATGGTGTGCAAATTTGATTGATATCGGTTCGGTAGTTTAGGAGTCCATTGAGGACAAACATTGTGACACGAGATTTATATATATTAAGACTAGCAGACCCGGCCAAGCGTTGCAGTGGCAAGTTTTTGGTTATATTACATAGTAGTAAACTATTCAAGGGAAACGGTAGGAGTCAGGAGAACACCAGTCATGGGGACCACCATGCTTTTTTGGTAGTTATGCCATTAAATTGTATTTTATATGAAACGTTTGTACTTTCAACACAGCGCCATCTGTTAGAATTGTGACTATCAAATAATAAACAAATATTTTGCAATAAAATAGGATTGCGGGTATAAATTGAGATGTAAGCTATCCTATCTTTTAAGTTGGATCAAACTACACACGGTGTGCAAATTTGATTGACATCGGTTCGGTAGTTTAGGAGTCCATAGCGGACAAACAACGTGACACGTAATTTATATATATTAAGATTTATTGTACAGGACTACTACAAAGTTTTCACTTGCTTCATGAAACGCATAATTTACCAATCCTCAGTAGTTATAAATGATAGGAAATAAAAGGGGTGGGAAATGGGAGAAGTAAACATTGAGTTCAGGGGCTAATGTTACTTTTACCTCCACTCTCCGTGACAAGGACGCCCTTGCAAAAAATGGTGCAACTTAGCTACGATATTAATTTAATTGACGTAAATATGTTGTTGAGTGTGCATTTCGAGTTTTATCGCTAAGTATTGCTTTTGTATATCATACATAGCGCTACGTCTCCAAATTGACCTTTAGAGTTAGCTTAGTGTGCTCCGTATATTAAAAATATATCTGATTTTGGCAAAAGGAAGTCATACTTAACGTTAAAGTCGACTCATAAATATTTACGAACGATTATTCTAAACATGGTTACCAATTCTCTATACGATTATAACAATAATACAATTTGTCCCATAAACAATTAGAATTAGGTATGTGAAAACTTCGTATTTATACACGCTTTATTATAACCAAAGCTTTACGATTCGTTGTTACAGCATCCTTCCGTGTGATCAGCTAATTAAATTGGCTTACAACTGGCTATTGGTTAATGGCTGTAAATCTTAGAGATATGTTTGATCACAAAACGTTCGAATGCATTTCATCGTAAATTATTTGTTCATATTTGTTCGGTTCAATTCAATTCAAAACCATTTGTTTTTTGTTAACGTCAAAAAAGAAATATATATGAAATGCTTCTAATTTTACATTTACTGCCAGTTCTCAAATCAAGGACGTAGAACGGAAAAGAATTGGCAATAAACTCTCGGCCACTCTTTTTAATCGCCAAGTTTTTTGTTTTACACAGCGTTTGTAAGGAGCTGCAACCATTACATCATGTTCCACATGACATCTTAAGTAATAAATAATAATAACATAAATTAAAAACAAAGATTTATTCTCTACCAGCAGGAGACATGGTGAAATAGGAGGATTTTTGGAATTAAATTAGAAAGGGAAAATTGGAATCTCTTCGGGGTGTAAGTAACAGAGGCAGTCGGTACTCCTTATTGGTAAATAGATTGCTTAAAATATTTAAATTTCGTTTTTAAAACATAACACAGATTATGAAACACGATTTTGTAATGAAATATAAATCTTGTAATTGCCGAGAGGATGTGAGATAGGTGTGCCACCATTTTACATCACATAAATATTTTCTAACATTATGTAAATTTGCTTTTTTTATAGCTTTTAATATAATAAATTTAGTGTCATTACTCGGTAGTCATTAGCTTTTTATAGGTACTTAATTAAAGTTTTCTTGAAAGTAGTAAAAATTTATCTTTAAAAATATGGTATGGTGTTTATTTTGAAGATTTTAAGATGTAGTAGGAATAACGAACGAGAGCAGGGCAGATTGTTTATTACAATAGAAACTATTTCTAACCCAACCACTTCTAAGAATGAAAAAAATAAAAAAGAAGATATTTCTAGAAAAAGTTGTTTTTTTTTCAAGTCGTCACATATCCTAATAATTGTCATTGATCCTAATCGTCACATATGATAATTATGTTTAAAAAACGTAATAATATATTTAAAGAAAAACTTTTTAACCGGATTTAAAGTTATGTATTATTATAAATTTACAATTATTTAACATAATTTTAAATTTTAAAAA